CAAAAGACTAAGGTGACGCTCTGTACCTACAGTGCACGTATACTGACATCTGAATCTTCGATAGAAGACTTGATCATGAAGGTAACAAGGATAAGATACGACGTCGTCGGACTGGTTGAGAATAAAAGACGCCACCCATTCAAAGCCGTCTACGATATCGGAGAAGAACTGTTCCTATGAATATGCAAAAGTAGGGAAGTCGATTGCGCCGGCATTCTCGTCATCACGAATTTGCCTATGATCCATTCATTCGAACAACAAGCAACCTGAATTCGATGCTTACTGTTGAAAATATGTGGATCAATACCGGATTTGATAATTTTCTTCTGTATGCACTGACATCAAGCACCAAGCTATGACGATGACGAAGTCGAAACGTTCTGTATAAACTTGGAGGAGTTGTACAGAGAAGGCAGTAGAAGGCAGTACATTTTTTGAGGTCGTCATAGGAGATTTCAACGTTGAGGTTGGAACCAGAAGAACGTCTGAAGAGTGCCGAATTGCGATTCACGGATTAGAATAGAACGCGCAGAGTGAGCTAACGTTCCAGTTTATCATGGCGACCAAGACCTTTCATGGTAACTTGCAGTTCTAGAACCCCAAGCTGGACGTGTGAGTACCCCAGTGGAGAGTACCATAACGAAATAAATCAAAACGTAGTAAATCGAAAGTTTTGTCTAGCCGATGTCGCTGTTGTCGCAAGATTGTACATAGTACCAGAACATTGCTTGCTGTTTCATGCGAGATTTCTTATGTCACAAAGGACAAAAAGCCACTAACTTCAATAAATGAGCTTCTAAAACCACCATTAACTGAAATTTACTCTCTTTATTGGTGGGCTTTCGTGAAGATGAAATTGTTGGTAACGTTGACGAGAAGCACGTTCGGCTCATTCAACGTCTTCACGTTAGCGCTATGAAAGGTGAGAGTTCGAAAATCACAAATAGATGCTTGTCCTCAAAAATCTTCGCTCTGATACGCAATCACGAAATCGCGCGAGTTATATGAACAGTCATCTTAATTCCGAACCCGAAAAACAATGCAGCCAGGTGATAAAAGAAGATCTTAAGAAGAGAAGAGCAGCAGTTATGGTCGAAGCCGCAGAGGCTGGGAAAAGCATTCTCAAAGCCCATCGAAACTCTACCAGTTAGCAAACCGAGATGGCTACACTCTGACACCTAGACGGAACACCTAAAGCATCTAGAAAGATATCAGAGAAAATCATTCACATTTATTACTCAAACCTCCTCACCAACCACGTCCTTCTGCCTTCACATCAAATAAAGGATGGCTATGTTGCCCTACCTGTTTTCCCTTTCGAAACCCACCATGCTGTTTTATCGCTGAGAAATCGGGCAACACCTGGTCCGGACAGGATAAAATTTGAACACCTGAAAAACTTTCCACCAGTCCTCATAAACATATTAGATCGGTTCTTTACACATTACCTGCTGGAGTCCAAGGTTCCTACTCATTGGAAGACCAGTGAGACCGTGTCACTGTTCAAAAAGAGTGACCTACACGATATCTGTAACTATCGCCCAATCTTTTTACTGTCTTTCGTCTAAAACTTTTCACTCGAGTAATCTTAAATAAGACCGATGGAACACTGTACGAAGGACAGCCAAGATGGCAAGCAGAGTTTCGAAATGAATTGAGTATAATGACCTACATCCACATGATAACAAGACTTATTGAAGAATCGCGAGAGTATAAAAAACTGCTCTGTCTTCCTTCTATCGATTTAAGGAAAGCTTTTGACTTAGTTAAGATAGAAGCAGCCATGGAAGTCCGGGGTAGCCAGGGCGTCACTACTCAGTATGTAAAGGTTGTTCATGGGCTATATAAAAATTTCTCAACCAAAGTACCAACATTTTATGGTGATACTAAAATCAACGACAACAGGGGAGTTATGCAAGGCGATAGCATTTCGCCAAAATTATTTACCGTCACACTCAAGAACTTTATGCGAACATTTTAATGGGACAATGTGGGATTGAAAATCGATGGTTAGCAATTACACCACTTTGGCTTTGCTAATGAACTCTTTCTCATAATACCAAACATTGTTCAGAAGGTACGAATAGTTACTGACTTTGTTAACGTATGTGGAACTATTGGTCTTCAACTAAGTCCCACAAAAGTGATGTCCATGAGGAACGGAATGGTTTCGTATGTCCCATTCACAAATAATGCTACGAACAGCTCCGAATGCTCCAGCTGTGCCTACCTAGGTTGGTAAATCAACATGATTAACTACTTAGCTCCAGAGTTGAGCAGCAATAACCGAGCGGCTTGGACAGGTTCCAAGAGCATCGAGGATATCGTGAAGAAAACAAAGAACACCCGCTTCGGTGCCCACCATTTCGACTCCAGAAACCAGGTCGCTAGAAAAGCAGGATGAAACACCACCCAGCGTTATAGAATGCGCAGCCAAAAGGACGATATCAGGAGTAGCCCGTGTCATGCAACTGAGGAATGGGATCCGAAGCTCTGAATTACGTTGATGAAAAATCAAAGACGGTGTTCTACACACTAAACTGTCGAAGACAAAGTGGACCGGACAAGTTAATGATATGATCGATAACTGATGGACAAGCGTTGTTAGTGATTGGATTCCTCGCGATGCCAAAAGGAGACCGCTATATCTCACTTTTATCTATTTAATTAAAGCTTTTGACTCAGCTGAAATCGAAGCACTCACGAAAACTCTAGAGCCTTTTCGACTCAACGATTCTCCCTTCCTTACTACATGCCTCAGAAACCTGGTTGCTGGCTAAGCAAGACGAAGGATCACTCGCACTGTAGAATGTGCAATCGAAAGAACGATGCTGGGAGTATTTCGTGTCACTCAAGGGAGAGAAGAGAACCGATGCTGCGACCTGTGTCAACGAACAAAAATCAAAGATGCCGATCAATAGTGATGCTGTCGAGGATAAGGTGGGCCGGATACGTAATTCATATGAACGACAACGGATGGCCAAGAGCCATAATTGACTTAATTTCTCTGGATTTCAAACGTATCGCAAGGGGACCACCGACTCTATGGTCGAGGTTCTTTTTAAAAAAACGCTAGAAGATAAACGTAATGATCACTGTTTCTTTAGAGCAAGCAGAACCCATAGGGCTACTCTTGTAAGAGACAGGGCGGAACGGACAATTTACTGGCCCTCGCTCGCTTCACTCGACGGTCTACGGAACTACAGGTGATAAATGTGAACGTTTCGTGTAGAACCAGACAGTGTTTGTGATGATGAAGCTCGCTTTTTGCAGGTCAGGAGAGTTTTCTTGCTTTCTGGAGTCTGAGATTGTTGTGCTAATACATTTTCACAAAGTCGCTAAACGATGTGAATTGCAGAAAATAATGCCACCTTGTGTGTGACCAGGCCTTTTTAAGGAAAACAGCAATGTCTTGGGTTGTTTCATCGTAATATGACACCCAGGGATACATAAATAGCATCCGTCATTGTCTGGGCGATCCCTCCTATTAATCAATGTAAGCATTTCTGCGTAGTCGCTAGAAAGGTAAACATTCAAAAAATGGTTTTCGAGGTTATTGTTGGTGGTAATAGCGTCACACATCTTATCTGATAAGAGCTCCAGCCGAATACGACGATTTGGTAGTATGCTAAGCACAGTCATCGTTTCCTTTCCACACTGCCAAGATGTTTTGCTTCGAACTGTATGTCAACTTGCAAACCCATATATTACATGACGGATCCAGTGTTATTACACGTGTTGAGCACTATCTCATTAGATTCTCTTAAACTTAACATCACTAACGATTGACATAAACCTTATTTTTCGAAAAGTTTTGAAAAATCATGAACATTATCAAAAAGCAACACTGTCCTGAAATTCAGCGTATTCCATATCGAAAAATCTCAATAATCTAATCCAAAGTGTCCCTTTCACGGATTGTGTTTTGGAATAGTTGCACGTGGTTATCTCAATATTAAGACGGCAAGTGAAGTTTCTTATCTGTTTGGTAACCAAACCAAAGAGAGTCTGCTCTTCATTGGAGACGCTTACCAATTCTGAACTGAGTCTTCTTCCATAATTAAGGCTAGCGAAAGAACCACATTTTGTTCCTCACTTCTCATGCTTAATTTCATCTAAACAAACGCCTTTCTCAAATGATAGAACGGTGTGCTGAATTTTTTCACAATTTAAACACTTAAATAAGCCTTGAATTTCTCGCTTCGCTTACTCCATGAATTTTAAAAAGTATGAAAGCAAGTAAGGAAGTGAAGCTGGTCTAGCAATAATTAGCTCATTAACACTTCTGACTTTGTTTAATTCTGTTATTGTTGCTTAAATTTCGTATGGACTTCGATATTTATTATTGTGCGTTTCATCGAGAAAACTTGTTAAAGTTCTGTATAGTCACTGTCCCAAGAAGAGAGTGGCGTTACCCACTGAAGTGACAGTAAGTGGGCACTTTGGAGAACTCTCTCCGTGACAATTATTAATGTTTCGGTTTGGAATGTTTTTGCTTTAACCTGCTATGACGTATATTTCGCTGGAAGCTAATACAATGGAACGACGTAGTTGAACACGTTGAAAAGAGCCCCATTTGATATACGGTCTTGATGATTGTTTGTAGGCGCCAACGGTATCAAATTTCTACACAAATTTTAAACGTTTACCTAAATAAAAATAGAAAAGTCAATATTTATGGAAATTCTGGATACACTGTAGATCGTCTGTGCTAGAGAAGTCACAAAATCAACGACTCAGGTGAAGCATGACAAATACTTTAATAACGAACTGGCGATTATTCATCAAGAAAGCAGTGAATTATCGATCATTGCCGAGGTTGAACGAGAGTCAGTTCTGGAATTTTCTGCTTAGAATTATGATTTCAGATGACTCACAACGATTTTGAACCTAGGGAAGGAGCTTCGACGTTACGTTCTGGCAATGTTACTGAAGCAGATGAATGCCATTCCTCTCACAAATCAACTGAAAGTGCGGAATTTTATGATCAGTATGAAAGTATGACAGGGATACATAATGAGCACTACGATGAAGAGAAAAATATGGTTCCAAACTTACTAGGACCAAAAGTTCGCGACGTTATGCGACCTGTGCTTTTGAGCGAGAAGCTACAGCATACCAATAATCCGATGAAGGTAATAAACATTGAATATTATATTTAAATATTTGCTTCATGAAAAAATCGACAAGTTCTTCGAATTTGCTTCTTATCAGCGACAGAATGACACGAAGCATGAGTCAGCCCAGAATGAAAAATCCGGTCATCACGGTGTATCAGCCCTCAAGAGGAACACAAATCGAATGAGTAACCATGAAGACATCCATATTCGGACTAAAATGCATTTCTCGCCCTCATCGACGTTGGTTCGTCAAAGACAGCCACACCTGACCGACCTCCCATTACAAACCGGAGGTAGTGAGATTTTGTAATAGCAGTTTGGACGATGTCTTTTGTTTTCAAAACGGAAAATTGTGCTAAAAAACTACGCCTGTTTTAAAATTTGAAACTGAGCAGTCCTGAAATGAAAATTGAAATACGCCTGTTTGAAATAACAAAGTAGAGCCCCTCCTTGATAGTGATGGTAAATACGTAGTAGTTTATAATACGTTAACCTGTTTACTTCTTTAACGTGGCTGGGAGGTGTTCTTGGGTGTCGGACTGCGATGCACAGCGGGGAGATTGTCCTCCCGGCAGGGTCAAGGAGTCCAATGTTTCCAATAGGAACCTTAGCTAAGAGTTAGCCAATACCAGGATCCACTGTTGTCTTGGTATGAAACTAGTCTCATGGTGGTAAATCTCCCACTGATCCACAAAGGCTGCGACTGTCTGTGGTGGTAAAGACCTGGCGCAGACTTTGGCCAGGCTGTCTTCGGGATTCCAGGGAATCACATTGGCTTAACCAGTAAATCTCCGAAAAATGGTGATTATTGGTGAGCTGGAGCCCTCACAACCAGTGAGGACGAGCCGTTCAAGTATCAGGCATGAAGTAAGTAAATACGTAGTAGTAGCACTGGAACTCGAAACAGTCTTGTTTAATGTAGCGGGCTGACCAATATCTAGTATGTCGAAGCCTATTTTTTGAACAAAGCCTTGCAATGATAGGAAGAGCTAATTTGTTATTATTCTAGTTCTAACATTAGTCTAACATCTAACATTAGTTTTATAGAGGTGAAGAAAATTTGCCAGCAAATGGAAACGCTCCGAAGGAACAGCATCTCTGAAAATCAGGTCAACAACGTGTCGATTTTTTACATCAATACACATTTCGTATCAAGATTACTTTACAGTGTATTTTTTTTAGACCAAACCCGACTCAATCCTAGGTCGCTTAACCGACCATCAACTCGTAGTTGCTCAGAATGAGCAACCGAACGAACTTCAAGAAACTTATAAATACGAGGATGAAAACAGCGATGAACTGCATACCACCCAGATGTCCGTATCTGAGTTAATTGATATATTTGAAGGAACTGTGAAAATCCGGCCCAGTAAGTACGAAGGTCGAAAATCGCTCAATGTATGGATTCGTTACGAAGAACATATGCAGCCACATGATCCGGATCATCACCATGGAAACCGGAAATTCCATGACGGGTCAATCGTTCATAATGAAGATGTACAGCTACGTCATATACAAGACTATAATGAAAACCACGAAACCGAGAATTTGTCGATCCACTGTAGTGAAGATGTGCAGCGTTCGGTTTGTGCTAGTTTTTGATGTAATACCCTGATCAAGAGCTCGTATGAAAATTATTTGGGAGCTTTTAGCTGTTTTGGTTCAGACATTGAGCAGTAAATTTAAATATAAGTCTGCTAACTGAGTTTAAAAGTCCGTTTTAATACAGTTTCGTCTACTCTTGCATATTGTCGGTAGTTCAACATAAATAGGTCCCTCTATTTGGTTGCCAAAAATTTATCGTTCTTTGTTTCTACTAGGTCGCCGTGAAGGATACTGCTGCTGTAATAGATTCGCACAAACTCCCGACCAATCCACGGAAACAACCACCTCGAACATCTCCATGGTTTAACCCTAACTGTAAGGATCAGTTAAACAGAGAAATGAGAGTGATTGTAAAATAACTCATTTCTTTGTAGCTGTATCAAAAAGGGCACTGACACGAAGTGTGCTCTCTCATGTACCGTCGTTTACGAAGAAGAACGGATTGGAATCGACCGAAAATGTAAAGA